AATAACTAATAGCCGATCCAATCGATGTGGCCGGCCGCCGTCGTGTTGTAATAGATCTTTAACCTATATATCCGTAAATCTAATATCTATTACATGGGCCCGTAGCTTCCTCTAATCATAAACCGGTTCATCATGCGTCTAACCGCCTGCAAACAACCGCCGCTTCTCTTGCTCTTAAACCCGGGTTGTATTATCCGCTGCGACTGCTGCGACTATGATAATCGCTGGTACGGGAAACTGCTGCCTAATACGCTGTCTCTACTTCTAGGCCTTCTTCGCTGCTGGCTCGAACTGCTCTGTCGCCGCCTGTTACCGGCTCCAAACTCGCTGTCCTCACCGCTGCTGCTACTGTCGGTCTCCCTTTGCGACTGCTGCTGCTGCCTGCCTGAACTGCGCTACTCGCGCCTGTTACCGGCTCGAACGATACTAGCCTGGCTATTGCTACTATCGCTGTCGCTGTCGCTGCTACTGACTGCCTGTAACCCGAATTCTTCGACGGTCTGTTACACCACTATGAACCGGGCAATCTTGATTATAGCGGATAAAATCGGCAGATACGTGTCCGGCCCTTTCTACCCGCCCTCCTTAATACCTAAAACTGCTAACGCGTAAACTAACGGCGACTCGTACTCCCGCTGCACGATCTGGTGATCTAATAACTCGATGCAAAACGCTAAACACGCCCGCTATACTGCGGATAATTTGGCCTTGTCACCTTCGTCGCTACTGCTACTGGTGTCGTCGTCGCTGCTGGATGCGGAATCCTGGCTGCTTTCCTCCTCTTCCTCTTCCTCGCTCTCTTCCCCGCTCTCTCCTTCGGCCTCCTTCCTCGCCTCGACTACTAACACCCTCTATACCCTCTTCTTCTCCCTGGTGAACCGGTATTTCGGACTGGCCCAATCGTGTGACCGTTGCGTCCTGGCGAAAAACATCAACACTCGCTGCCATGCACGAACGTACTTCTAGAACGTCTTATCGTCTATGTATGGCTGTAACGGCTGATATCTCGTCTGGTGCTTCTCTGTCCGGATGGCTTCCAATCGAATGAAAATGCCCACCCTCGATCGCACGGTCTCTTGGTAAAACTGGGCCAATTCTCGCATGGTTTTCCAAATAACCGCTTCCACCGGCTCCTCCTCGACGTCGGGACCCTCTACGCTGGCAATCAAATCCGGCCTCTCTAAACCGACTAAATAATCATGCCATCCTGTCCTGTCGAGCCACGGGCTGATTTCTAACCGATCGACCTCCTCGATGTGTCGTTGGATTTCTTCCTCTTCTTTAGCATGGTCCTCGTTTGCTTTCCTCCGTAACCGACCGAATGCCGCCTCCTCGACATCTATTCTCCCCTCCTCTT